ACTGTGCAACCAGATAGAAGACTTGGGTGGATTACTTAGTTTACATTCGCTTCTTGCTGAAATTCCCATGTGTTCGTCTGCACTTATTTGTAGGTGACGTGTAGTTTTAGCGATATAGGTAGCTTTACAGCTGCCACAAGTGTATTTATATACGACTCACGAGAGCATAGGAATGGGTTGACCGTCTTTAGCTTTAAACATATTTTTAATTCTAAATGTTGGTATAAATACTAAACATAGCTTAATTCGTGGGTAATATGTTTTGATTATTTATTTTTTAATTTGATGTTTCAGTTTAAAACTTTGTTTGCCAATGAAAGGAGTGATAAGAATTAGTGGATATTTTAAGACAGTGTTTGACGTTTTGGTAGGTTCTATTTTATTGGTTAAAATATTTCGTATGATAGAGTGTAAGAAATTAAGGGGATAATTATTACTTTGTAATATCCTATGAATTTTTGGAATTTCTGTGTGAAGACCGAAGTAGCCAGAAAAGAGTGTATAATCCAATAAATGTTTTCTTCAGTAAATAGGCGTGGCAAAGAGATTGTTTATTTTGTTTATTTGAACGTCTAAAAAGCTAAGTTATTGTTTTTTTTCCACCTCACATATAAAGCTAATACATGGGTGTTGTGAGTTTAGGTATTCTAAAAACTTCCGGGTATGATCAGTGTTGTGAAAAAGTAGAAAAGTATCATTAACGTACCTTCTATATAATACTGGCTGGATAACTGTCCCCTTTATTACAAACCAGTATTATATAGAACGTACCTTCTATATAATACTGGTTTGTAATAAAAAGGACAGTTATCCAGCCATTGACGTTCGTAATAACAGAAAAATATTAGCAAAGGTCAGACCTAGAGGTGATCCCATCGTCACTCTGTCTGTCTGGTCATAAAGATAGCCATTAAAAACGAAGCGATTGAGGACCAATTTAAGAAGCTGTTCGAATTTTTGTTGGTTAAAGTCAGAGTGTAGATCATTTTTTGGTTGGGAATAATTGTTTACTATTTACTTTGTTTCCTCAAGTGGGATGTTAGTGAATAAGGACTGAATATTAAAGCTAGCCATATATTTTATATCTGTTCTTTCCAAACTTCTGATTGAACACGAAACTCGCTCAATGCTAATGTTTTTTTTTTATAGTTCGAATATTACGAACTGTCTTTTCCTGAGATATTAACGCTGATGATGGAATTTATGAAAATTCCGAAACGTCCTTATTAATATTTTTATATTGATATGTTTTTAATATTTATTAATATTTTTGGAATTGAAGAATCTCCTAATATCGTGAATTATTTTCATTTAAAGGCGAGTAAATGTAGGGTATTTAAGTTAAGAAGCCCAAATATACTGTTTATGTTAAAGTTTTTATAACAATGGAAAAATTGTTGGCAGTTTCAATCAATTTGCTAATTGGATTATCATTAAATAATACAAACAGTGTTTGAAGCATACAGTAGAATGAATTAAAACCTACATTTTTAGAGATATTTAAAAGTCACATTAAGAACTGTTTTGTTTGTGAAAGCATTATAAATAAAGTTGCTTTGTTTAAAGAAACTTTTCATTTCATGAACATTTTTTACGCTAAGTCACTTTTCATGAGCCTAACTTTATGAACAACCCAAAGCACTGCTTCAGTTTCATAATAGAATACGTGACCTATCACTATTACTTGGCATTTCTCTGTGTTTGTCGTTTCTTTATGTTCTCGACCAATCACATGTAGGGATTTTCTTTTTTTTTTACAAAGGACGATCAGTTATTTTGGGGCCGTTATGCCATTAATTAATGCGTAGTACAACTTTCTATATCTAGTGAGTGGCTTTCTCTTCTAAAATATTTTAAAACTTGACGATATTATGATTCAACGAGCACCTTCATCTTTATTCCAGGAAACTATACTTTATCTGAAAACAAAAGCACTTTCATCCATTTCATCTCCACTCTCTATGCCACATAGATACAGTCATTCGTCACTATTGTCTTGCTTTCACGATCTGTTATATGAGGTGGCCAGTTTATCATGGCTTTCCTATTGTAGTCATTTATTTATCCTCAGTGCATTGTGTTTCTGATATGCGTGTTCTTATTATCTTTAACTAAAGAGATATTTGATCTTACTGCTTTAACTTTAATTAGATCTTCTATAATGTTGATTTCCAATGGCGATTGTAGAGAGACAACCTGGTAACAGCCAGTGAAACAACTAGGTAACAGCCAGTGAGACAACCGGGTAACAGTCAAACAAATACCAAGGTGAAACTTAGTTGAATGGATGGCAACAAAATTTTATCATAAATACTCTGCCTAAACAAGCTATCAAAGAGCAAAATCAAGGTGTTGAAAATAGACTTAATTTCAATATATATTCAATCCTATCCCTAAAGATGGTTTTATCCACCTTGGTCACACAAACATCAGACGACTTGCAAATTAGATAGAAAAGATAAATATTTGGCAGTTTACAAGTGGCTTCATTCAGCTCTAGTTTTAATCCAGTTTCTCGCGAGTCTACTCCTATTGGACAAGTGACATATTTGGCGACTGGCTTGTAGATTCTGTTAGGAATCCAGTAATTTTTTAGACGTTTTGTTAATCCTTACCCTAACAAAAATTCCACTATAAAAATGAGTAAATGGAACTTGGAATTAAGTCCAATAAAACTCATACATAGTTGGAAGGAATTTCTTCAGACTTAAGGGTTATTTATTGTTGATGCAAGCAAAAGCCACTACTGATCCCGACGGTTTTGAGGGTATTTATGCAAAGTGAACCTTAAAAGTGATTTAATAGCATTACGTGAACTTGCTTGTCACGTTCTGGAGTGTTTGTAAAAGTAATGTTTGAAATTGTCGGCTTATGTATATAACAACTACATCTACAGTTAAATTAAGTTACATATAATTAGCATCCTTACTAAGATGCTTTATACGTAAAATAATGCAAAACTTCAAGCAAAAGACCAGTTTAGCCAATTATAAAGACGAATAGAATGAAGGAAAAATAAAGTTTTTATGAAAAAATTAATCAATCGATATACCTCAATTAATCAACGGAAATATAAATCAGTATAGATCTTAGCTTTTCTAAATTTGTAATACATGAAGTTACAACTCTGCCTTCAAAACTTTTCATTATAGAACTGTATCAATATATTATTAAAAGATAAAATCTCAATCCAGCCCCATTTTTATCGCTTAGCAGCCTTATCAAGTATTTATAGATTCTCAAACTAACGCCACCTATAGTTTCCACAGTAACAGGTACAATTAATTCATATTGAACAATGCATTTCATGTTTTTAGTTGAAGTTATAAGTTTGATACTTTTGTATTATTGTTGGTGACTTCATTATTTTATAGCTCTTGATAATACTAATGTAATTAAAAAATTCTAGTTGATAATAGTATACCTATGATTTCAAGTTACGCTGATATTTAAAACTTAAGGATGCTTACAGTATTTTGGCACTTGTGTATAAAGTTAAAATCATAAATAATATTCAACGTTAAACTGG